TTCGAACTTTTGTGCTCCAAGCTAATTCGTTATGAGTGATTAAATTAAAAGATGTGGTGATAAGTCGGTTGTCGAAATTGATTAACAAACTAAGCAGAATGTTCCGGTTAATACGACAAAATTTCGCTACATTTCACTGGTGGAAGTTTGACAAATGTCATTGAATAATCGCATTGAATTGTCGCTGAAATACCACACGTGAAATTATCGCTGAAATACCACACGTGAAATTGTCACTATAATTCGTTCCCATTGGCTCAACAATTTGAAATCTCGACATTTCACTGGTCGAAATGTGACAAATGTTAGATGAATTGAATAGTCAAAAATATTTGATTTGTATGTATAGAAATATCTTACAACCAGCAATGTAAAACGATGTCAATGTGACATATCTCCCATTGGCTCAACAATTTGAAATCTCGACATTTCACTGGTCGAAATGTGACAAATGTTAGATGAATTGAATAGTCAAAAATATTTGATTTGTATGTATAGAAATATCTTACAACCAGCAATGTAAAACGATGTCAATGTGACATATCTCCGTGATTGTAATTTTTTAATTGGCCAATTTTCAAGGTCAATTTCTTTTTGGTACTAGGACCAAAAGTATCCACTTTTTGTACAGTTGCCATGGTGATTGCGATTAATCCGCAAAACGCCAATTTTACGTAGCGAACACTATCACAAAATAGCGTCTTATTCAGGTGGTTGGAGAAAAAATATATTCGTTATGGCTTGCTGGCTGCCTTCCGGTTGAGATCTCAGCAATTACGATTGCTAGATACTTTAAATTTTCACTAAAAGCTTTCTGTTATAGTGTAGGTGTGCAGGCTCTAGTGTCTATTTTGAGTGAGATTACTCGTGTGATCGATAATTTTAAACTTTGCTAATAAAATACTGATCTGCATTACCAAAAATGCGCTTTCATCATGCGTATGCTGATTTACAGCTTGTTTAACGCATTTGAGTGAAAAAAAGTAACGTAAAGTGTCATTTTTTTTAACGCAAACTATTTAAACATGAAACATAGGAGGCCGCCGTTGCTATGATACTCACTGACATTTGTTAAGCGTTAGAAGTACGTACTGTGCGATCAAAAATGAGTTGCTGTCGAGTCACCTTTGGAACTTTTGTTTATATGGGAAATCGTATTTAACTTGAACTTCCAAAGGCGACTCTACAGCAACTCATTTTTGATCACCCGTTATTAAGTTCATTCGCTGTTTTGCGTAATTTGTTCATTCATTCATTCATTCATTCATTTTTATTTAATTCCTTCGACAAATAACATTTGTATGGAACAAGTCAATATAACATTAATTAAACAAACAAACAATTAAATATTGGAAGATATAAAAAATTCTTGTATGTTGTAGAAACACCCATTGACTAGATACTCGTACAATTTCTTTTTAAATTTTTTCCATGTAAGGCAAGTTCTTATATTATGAGGTAAATGGTTGAAAATTTTAATTCCTGAAACTAGTGGAGAATTTTGTCCTATTTTTGATCTGGCCAATTCTGTCCTGAACTGATCATTGTTGCGTAAATTATAAGAGTGCACATCTCTATTTGTTTTTAATTTCTGCTGACTATTAAAAATAAGTTTAAGTACTTATTTCAAATATATACATGCCGGTTACGGTAAGGAGGTTAAGTTCCCTGAAGATCTCCCTGCAGGTATGAAATTTGGATACATTCGTAATTGTTCTCAGAATTTGTTTCTGAGATACAAATACGTGTTTTGACTTTTTGGATAATCCCCATAGACATATACCATACCTAATTACAGACGCAACCAACACATGATATATGTTTATTAACTGTGGTAACATCATAACCGTCCGCAAGTTCCTGAACATAAAGTTTAGTTTGGAAAGTTTATCAATGACCTTAGTACAGTGCAATTTCCAGTTTAGATGTTCATCTATTATAATTCCTAAAAACTTAGTAGAAGTTACTTTTTGGATCGCCTTACCGTCGATTAATAAATTTATAGTTTGAGGTTCACTATGGTAATTATGAAATCTAATGTAGCTTGCTTTGTTTCCATTTAGAGTTAAAGAGTTCCTGTTGAACCACTGATGAAGTTTACGTAGATTTACATCGGATATTGCTTGAAGAGAGTTATGATCTTTATCTGAGATTAATAAGGAGGTGTCATCCGCTTAAACCACACAACCAATTTGTTCATTTAGGCAAGATGTTAAATCGTTGACATAGAGTAAAAAGAGAATGGGTCCCAAGACTGACCCCTGTGGGACGCCCATTCTCACAGTTGTAGAATTTGATGTGTGTTTACTGTAAACTCCAGTTTGGTATTGAGTCAATGTGACAACCTGTTTCCTGTCTAGTAAAAATGTGGACAACCATTGCAGAGTTACACCCCTTACGCCATATTGCCATAACTTATCCAATAAGTGTTTAATATTGACGCAATCAAACGCTCTTGTCAGATCACAAAATATTCCTAGCGGGTGTTCTCGTTTATCTAGGTATTCTACCAACCATGTACAGAACCATTGCAGTGCACAACCTGTTGATCTCTCAGGTTGGAATCCGAACTGAGCAGGTGATAGGAGTTTATATTTATCAATAAATGATTGCAATCTATGAAGGTAACAGTACTCTAGTATTTTCGAGAATACGGAGCTTAGAGCAATGGGTCGATAATTCTATACACAATCGTGTTCACCGGCTTTGTAGACAGGAACAATATTATTCAATTTAAGACATGTAGGAAATTTGCCAGTCGTAAATGATAAATTGACAAGAATTGTTAATGGTGTGCTGAAAACAGAGTGTAATCTCCTTATTAATGAGGATGGGATTCCATCGCTTCCCGCCGAATTTTTATTTTTCAGTTTTGTTTTTATGATATTTGATACTTCATCTATTGTAAATGGAAACAAAACCAAACATTTATCCTGAAAATATGGATTGCGATATGAATTTTCGTAACTGTTTGTAAGTTTGCTAACCAAAGATTGAGCAATGTTACTAAAAAAATCATTGAAGTAATTTGCTACTTCATCCGGGTTATAGATAGCTTTACCATTCGCTTTTAATGTTATATTTCTAGCTGCTTTAGCATTAGAGTTTGAAAGGGTCTTGACCACAGACCATACCGATTGCGAGATGTTACTAGATTTGGATATATTTTTTTGGTAATATTGCCTTTTGCTATCTTTGAGTAGCTTAAAATGATTGTTTTTGCTTTTGGAATATAATGCTGAGAGCTCAGGAAACTGCATTTTTAAAATATTTAGGTCATGTAATTTCTGTGATGAGATTTTTACTTCTCTGTTCACCCACTTAGTGGACATGTTATTGATGCATACCTTTTTTAAGGGAAAATTCAATTCAAAATGGTAATTGATGATGTTATAGAAGTAAAGGAACGCTTCATCGATATTAGAGTACTGATGAAGTACGGACCAATTTATCACTTCTAGAGATTGCTTGAATAAATCTATATTTGCAGAACTATATGAGCGACAGTATTTATAGGTTTTTTTAGGGACAGGCATACGGGCAATGTTAGATTCAAATAGGATCGTTTTATGATCAGATATACAATTATCAATAATTGTGTATTGACCATGATTATCATAATTAACATAGGTATATGTGATCTAGGACATTACACAAGCGCGTACCTTCCTCAACTATCATTCTTAAATTGAATGTGTCT